CAAACCTGTACAGCCATTTCCGGCAATTCTGGGCCACGTGTGGGGTTCGTTGAATAAGAACGTGACCGATATTATGATTGGGAACATTCAGTTTCACAATGTCCCCAAATACCGTGCGACTGTGGACAGTGCTCATCCGGGTATTCAGACAATACGATGGCCTCGATTACCCGTATTGTACGACCTCGTTGTAAAGCGACTTGCCCCGACCATTCGTGTGAAAATTCAAGTAAGCTGCACATGGATGTAGATTGTCATGGTCTAAGTCGTAGTGTAGAACGGGTGGTTCAATGGGGAGATTTGTACAATTTCCGGGATGGTTCTGTCAGTTCAGTTTCAGTTTTGCAACCATTAATCATGTGCACTTTCGTGCACCGGTTTTGGTTACTGTCTTTGGGTCGCACATTTGAATAAAACAGCCCAATGAGGATTAGAATGTTGGGAGCAAATTAATGCGGAAGGTAGAGAATTTATATAGACTGCGATTGCAAAAATATTCAGTAGACGCCCTAACGCCACTATTCACGACACCCAACCATATCATTCAGTGTCTCTAACCAGTGGTTACAATGATCTCGGCGTCCCCAGCTAGGGAGCCTAACGGAACCTATTTAACCCAGTATCCTGGTTAGGGTTTTCCGACCCTCATGCCAGATTTTCGTTTGACCTCCCTTGATCTTTTTCCTACCGCTACCTGCCTCGGCAAACATCGCTCGCCGTGGCAACCTATTTGGTGACATGCGTAACACATGCCCCACCAGCGTAATCTATAAAGGTCGACTACTCACTCCGGTGGGTGACCACGATCGCCTAAAACTCTACGCCTAACCCCATCATCGCTCTTCCGGTTTCCCCACCATATTCGGGCAATAATGCATACACAGTGGTGTTCGAACGCCGACAATCTATTTCAATTTGTTCCCGTAGCGGCCAATTCTCTGCACAATATAGCAACCCTGATCGAACTCCTGCAGCATTTACTCGACCCTTCACGGACAGCCGGATGTCGCGACGGCGCCACAAATGTCTCAAGTTGGCAAATGCCAACCGAGCCGCGCGCGCCGACACTTCATCTGTGATGCGTCCGCCGGGTGAGATATAGCTGCCTAGATAGCCCGCGCCGACACTTCATCTGCGACGCGTCTCCCAGGTGAGATATAGCTGCCCAGATAGCAAAATTTCTCTGCGTCCTCTACTATTTCCCCAGTCAGGGTGAGGTTAGAGGGTGGACCAACTCAATCTTGTAGCAACCAAACATAGATGTTCTGGCATCTAAACCATCCACAAGAGCTTGCAACGAACCACGATATTCACTTAGCAGCACAACTTTGCTTGCGTACTGCAGATCAGATAGGCTGTCACCTGGAAGTAAATCGATACCGCTATCCCTAGAATTTCTTCCATCCCAATTCTGCTCCATGAGGCAGAAACTTGGCCATTAGGAAAACAGGATAAAGATAGACTGCCGGTCTTTAACACTGCTGTCTAAGTAGAATTCCATGAATCTGGTGGGGCAGCCGGACGAGCAATTTCGAAGTTAGGCGCAGAGTTTTAGGCAACCGCGGTCACCCGATGGAGTGAGTAGTCGACCTCCATAGATTACGTTTGTTGGGGCGTGTTACGCATGTCACCAAATAGGTTGCCACGGCGAGCGTTGTTCGCCGAGGCAGGTAGCGGTAGAAAAAAGATCAAGGGAGGTCAAACGAAAACATGGCATGAGGGAATGAAAATCCCAACCAGGAATCTGGGTCACATAGGCCCCGTTAGGCTCCCTGGCTGGGGACCTCGGGATGATCGTAACCGATGATTACGGACACTGACTGGTATGGCTGGGTGTCACAAACAGTGGCGTTGGTGCATCTTTTCAATTTCTTTGCAACCTTAGTCCACTGAACCTCTCAATTTTCTCTTCGATCCTAATTTCAACCTTCCTGATTTCCTCTATTGTTCATCCAAATGAGCAGCCAAAAGAGAGAAACCAAATCCGGCGCACGAAAGTGCATGGTTAATAGTTGTTCAAACTGAAACGGAACTTCCATCACAGTCACACTGTGACTAAGAGCCAAAATTTGAACCACAAACTATGGTTAAGATTTCTGATACTCAAGTAAATGCCAGATTTTCTCCTTTGAGTATGATCTAAGTTGTTGCCAGAACAAGTGTGTTGAATTTCTTTGTTTCAATGGTTCGCTTCTTTTCTTACCGTGCCCGTCTGTATGAACGAAAATTAGTTGAGCATGTACGGAGAACGCATCTAAAAATCGAGAAAGAGCACCGTACGGCTGCTGCACGGGTGAGAACCAGGCTGGTTCTAGACCTGGTCGAGGATGTGCAGATACCCCATCTTTGTCATAAATGTAATTCTTGAGAAAGGCCCTATCCTCGTGCAAGAGTAGCCGCATCTATTTGCTCCCAAGCGGTGGACTGCCTGATCTGGAATATGCAGATTACATTGATCCGGAAGAAGTTCCGTCTATAAGCTATGCATCACGAGTAGTGAGTCCGAGGGAATTCCACATGCTGCGGCCGTACAATCCGCTGCTGAACGGAAATTTATTGTGGCTACTGGTAGTGGTGAATGCAGCTTTTATGTGAGCCGTCTGACTTCTAAGAAAAATCTTGGTGGTACTGAGACCGAACACGACTGACGGATGCATTGTCATTGATGCTGCAATCAGCCACCAACCGCTTTATTCCAATTCAGGTAGCCAGCCACAGTCCGCAACTCGTTTCTTGAATAGCTTTGTCACTGCAACCCTGAACTTCACTAATCGTGCATACTCACTTGCAACGGTTGGTTGATCGATATACCAGTAACGCTGGAAGCATGCATGCCAAACGAATGTTTGGCTTGCCGAAATGCTAACTTTTGGATTTCACCGTTGAATTACATCTGGGACTAAAATCGTTACCCTCCGTTGATTCAGCTCGAGTCACCTAAAGATCGGTACCTATGCAAGCCTGTTATGTATTACTCACGCATCATCCCGAAGCTTGGCTACTAAGGCGCAGACCTGTTGGAGGCCAAACAACAGCTGAGCACAAGAGGAATAACCGATCAGATGATCCATGTCAAAAAATCGGATGTTAACAGATCGACCACCATTGAAACGTTCGACTGCTGAATTCCCGCAAGGATTCAACGGGTTTGGACGTAGCCTACCGTTATGTGACGGCTAGCAAATCGACATCGATCAAGGCCGGCGTTCATGCGTTATTACCGGACCATAATGGTTTCACTCTCAGCTCAACTCGCCCCCCCCACTGTGTCATTTCCCTCTGATTGGTTGCATTATGTTCTGATTTGTATGCCTTACGTCGTGCTGCGCGGCGCTGGGTTATTGATTGAGCGCAAGCGTGCCTGTCCCTAATCAACTCCGATTGGTCCCTCATCTGCGATTCTATTGTCCTTCGGTCAATTGGATTTGTTCGTCATCTGGTCTTTCGCATGCGCCCTTGATGCCCAGCATTCATTGCTTTCTCTTTGCTGACTTGTTGCACCGCCGGTAGATTTTTCCATCAGTCAATTTACGACGAATGATAATACTCTAGGTTGCGTCCAACAGCTGCTCCTCCCTGTTTCTGTTCTCTTCATCTGTATGCTGACATGTCCTGGCATGAACATTTCCCCCAGCAATTTTATTTTTTTGTCAATCACGTGCACAGATTGCCCACTACCCCCAGCCCTCCCACGCCTGATTCAGTCCTCCAAATCCGGGATAGGCTATTGGTCGATGTCGTCCACTCGATTTTTCTTCAATCCCTATTCGTTCGGAACCAGCTCCGGATCTCAGTTCCTAACCATCGACCCCTTGTGTGTGTGCGCGCGCGCATAGGAACACGTTGGTAATGGCACTTCCGATCACGAAACTTGAAGACGAGAAAGACTTCCTTCAGTGTCTTGACAACCAGTTCACAATGAATGCAGTAACTTCTGAAAGTCAGTATATTTTATTTTATCGAGTGCACAAAGTTAACTCTGTAGCAGATACTTCCACTTCAATTATGCTCTCCCATAATAACTCATAAAACATACGCACATTCTATCACTGGCCAATGAGGCCGATAAAACTGCAATAAGGATATCACTCGCAGGACTGAATGCGCCTCCTCCCCCCCGCCCCCGAGCCCCAAATGGAGTGCTCAAAGACGAAAACTACCCGTCGTTTGTGCGGCGTGCCAAACTAGACATTTCTATTGGCGTTCCATGCACACGGGAGGCATGAGGAAATCATGAAGTTTCTTGGCACCCCCAAATAACGGAGCTTTATTCGGACAGCAAACTTGAAAAAACAAACAAAGTTACTAACACAGCAACCGCAACGATCGTGCCGCATAGTACGTCAGAGGAATCAGCAGTAGATCAAAGCACTCAAAACAAAAGAAAGATCCTAACTACCCAATACAGTGAGAACAGTAAAATGACTGGGATTTGGCGATTTTTTTATTATACACATTTGTGTGGTGAACCGCAGACGGGGTAGACGCCATAGCAACGAAGACCTGCTGCTCAGTGGAAACCGGTACCCTGAGCCCCGTTGGGTCAGGCGTAGTATTGAACTGGATGACAATAAAGCTGCCTACCATCAAAGTTGGGTGGAGTCGGTGGGTTTGACCATCGGGTAATAGAGTCTAAAGCTGATTGATGACAGCAACCCAACCATTGCGCCACCACCACCCAATTTGCAATTCACACTTTGTCTATCAACGAGTCCTTCCTTTTCTGCTCACTGTCGCCCAAACTCTCTCCTAACCAGACCCAGATTTCTCATATCGTAGCTTGTCGACTTTGCATTGAAATCGACGATTTGGCCTGCGATTATCTATTCCTTCAGTTATGTTTGTAGCGCAGCCGACATTGACCAAACTTCGAGGTAGCTGTCCTAGCGCATTAAAAAGCACTGTCCTCGCTTGCTTCAATACGGTGGTAAAGGTGTCACAAGAAGCGCTATCCTCGCTCACCTAGCAGCCTGGGGTCACCAAGTGAAGCCTGAATCAGCCTTCAAAGTTATCCATCGAGTACCACATCACTCATCCAAATGGTTGCTCCTTCACACCATAGCCAATGCAAAAGCGATCGGCATGCGTTTCTTCACACCCAATCTATGCGCACAGAAGAGATAGGCCCATGCGATTCAACTACTGTGGACGAAGATCGATCGCTCGGATGACGCATCACAACCTGATTGCAGGTTTGTGGTGTGAAACACGTCGCACCACTCACCCCACATCCCTCTCCCTTTCAATCAATCACTGTGACTTTTGAATGACTGAATGTATATCCTCTTTTAACACGTCATTTTCCTATATGATCTGTACAGGCTAGAAGATGAATGAATGAAAATAATTGTTCGCCTCTGGAATCTAAATGACATTCTGTTAACAATTCCTCTCATGAAACTCTCGTGGATATTATGCATATTCCTTTAATGATCCATTTTTTTGTCTCCCTCATTATGATTTGCATTAAAGCATATCCCATCACATATACATCTCCATGAGGATTTTGCTATTTTTTGTCCCGCCACACCACCCAAAAAACCCAGCAAGTGCAAACAACCCCCAGTCCCTGTTATCTTGTCCCATGCACACATTTGTTCTGTTGTATCAACACATTATTTTAGAGTATTTTTGTTTTATGCTTTGCCGAGGTCTTCCGGTATCTTTTAACTGGAATGGAAACAAACAAAAAACCCAGCACTTTCACCACAATAGGTAATGGTGAACTACATGCTGGCATAACCACCACCACCACCAACAACAACAACAGATCAGGATGGTACGTGATCAGACAACAAATTTCCCTTTCACATAAGTTTCAAATCCTACCATTTATGGTTTCTACTGTGACTTATTCATACATCGCATGAAACAGCGACTGACTGCATAAGAAAACATCCGGTAGCAGTGACTGGACGAACAGATAGACCGGAAAGTCTCGATCTGCATATTATCTTAACCACTCCGGAATAGGCGTCAGAGTCATATTTGCCCGGATTTTAGCTCAAAACAGAATTCACGCTTCGCTTTCGACAAACGCCACCGGTGCACACTGTGCTCAAAGAATGAAACACATCTTCCATGATCAATCGGGATAGTATCCATTTGCCTCAAATTTGTGGTTAATGCAGATCGGTTTTGAACAGCTGAACAACAAATCGGATCCTGAATAGTTTCTGATCGATTTCACAAGACGAGTCAAACAGTTGCGTTCAAGCGAAAAGAATCCTCATTCCGATTTTGATTCACTATCCTTGAGGTCTTACCTTTATGCAAATTGCTCAGATCATCATCATCAACACCAGACTGCAGTTTCTCTCTCCTCGGTAGTGTACGTCCCGTGCGGAAATTGAACTCCAGACCATTGAACGGGTACGCGACACCACTGTATGCCTGCCAGACCACATCCGGGCTTACCAATTCTGCGCAGTTATCATCATCCTAAGCGAAACAGTCAGTCAGATCTTTTGCCCAGAAAGCAACAAAGGGAGAGAGTTGTTTATCCGTTGATTCTCTACCAAAGGGTTAGAAGTTCCAATCCCGGAAGGGAGGAGATGTGAGTGGGAATGACAGCGGCTGGCTGGAATCTGATTCTTCCTGTGTGTGTGGTTGACTTAATTAACTGAAGATTGTGTGTGAACATGTCATACTACTGTTCACAAATAACTATGCTTACAACGAGAATTCTAATATATCCGGACGGTTGTATGGAAGACACAGATGAAGGTTTTCGTGGTATTGTATCAAGCGATTTTTCGATTGTTCTTTCTTTTGTCTTTCGAAGAATTCATTCGGAAAAGTTTTTGAATTTGACTCGCACACCAAGCTGAAATCACGTAGTAGAGGAACATATCGTTTTTGTGTTTCATTGAACTTGTTCATTAAACTGAGTGCGGTGTTGTGATTCGCATAAGATTAATTGTATTCAGTTCTAATTTCTCCTTCACAAGCAACTTCGAGAATTGACGTGGAGATTGTCCAGAACATACAACCTCTGTAAAACTATAAGGCAATACAAGAACTGAAACGTGTGCCAGATCTTAGATTCCTCAAGCCGGACAAAGGATCTGGTACAATAATCATGACCAGGGGCAGTTATATAAACAAAAATGAATGAGAGCAAGTTCGCAATAGACAAGACGCCGGATAACAACTATCTCACTGAAGACCTTATCGTAAGGAAATTACATATTCTGTTACTACATGGCTACATTTCCGAAACACAGTATAAGCAACTGAAGCTAATGGGGACAGAAATACCACAAATGAGAGGCTTACCTAAAGTTCATACCCTCTGCGAATTAACGATTTAAACACGTTTAATGGAGATTGGAAAAGAAAGATCTGGGAACGGACGTAATTGATTGGTGTTAAAACAGTCAAACACGCTTTGATATAAAATTGTCATTCATAATACATTAGGAGGGGGGGTTAAACAGTGATTCGTACTGCGCAAGAGTTTATCTTCCACATTCATCAGAGAGTTAATTTGGTCGCTCAGATACTATTTGATGTACGAACTGTTATTTAGAGTTTCGCGTTGTCTATGCGACAGACTTCATTTCCTTTCTACGTATTCNAGACACGAAACCCGGTCGAAGGAATGAACGATCATTCGCCCGGTGACGATCTCTTTGTGATGGATGAGGATGAAAATGAAGAGTATGTGACATTCACCTTGCGATTTATGAATTTCGGTAAGCCGCAAGAATGACAATACTGGTACGATTTTATTTGATGCGAGATGATTATCAAGGCCACCAACTGTGCTGAATACTCTGGTTGGCCTTGAACAGCGATCTGGTCAGAACACAGTAGGCGAGTAGGGAAATCCTTCACCAGGGGATTCGATCCAATTGGTCGTGCTAAACTTTCTGGTTGCAAACAATGGGATCACTCTGTTCACTAGTCAAAGCCAACGAGTGATATTGCTGAATGCCATGAACAGTGGTGGTCGTGAATCTACCCACTAACTTTCAGTCTCCGTTCTTTTTATCACTGTCCGGGTAGCTTGAAACTCTTCCATTTACTCGTTCATCGTTGATCGACCGGAGTAGTAGACAGTTAAAACCGTCACGTGAGAGCGCAAGATTGTTATGCATCCTTTGATTGGCCGTTTCCCTGTTCCTGAAAATTGCATCTTTGCATATTCAATTAAAAACATGAGAAAAGTGAAAAGGTCAGTTATGAAAAATTAACTGAACCGAAGTTGCAACCGTGTACTGACGCAATTAAACTTTGTTTGATTGAAGACGAGTGAATTAAGTCACACTGCGTTAGACCAATGCTTCTACTGAATTAGGTTTACGGAGGCATATATTAGTCAGAAGAAAAACCGCAATGCGGCACACAGAAGTATGCCGTCTCTTGATCAGTCTGCCCGCTAGTTACTGACATATTATAGACGGTGTAACTCGGGTTTTCAAACAGCATCATTCAAGCGTTTACCCATTTTCTCTAGTTGCGCCCCCTTATCGTGAGAACACCTAGCAAATTTCGTATTGGTTTTTTCTTATACTAATGGAAGACCGCAACCCAAAACAGGTCCCCACAGAGAAAGAAAAATGCATGGGGAGGTAAACTGAAGGTATANTATAACACTTTCCTCGCTCCTGTATTACGTTGAAAACCCCTTTCTTCCCCGGGCAACCTGGCAGTATTCAGCCCACATGCAAATCATGGAACATTTTTCTTTTTTTATAAAGGTTATTGCGCCATGATTTGTTTGGCACACAGTCCGGCGTCAGACGTGTGTGAAATAATAACAATATATATATATATATCTTATTAGCAAACAATAGGCCGTTTACTGCTGATTACTCAGGGAAAACTGGATGCAGATCGACCAGATTCGTATGAAATCAGATTGGCTATCTCGTCAACATGCTGAAGTGCATGTCATTAATGATGAGTTCTGCCGCCAAAGCTAACTCCACCCAGAGACGACTACTTAGAAAAGTAATTTCTAATTTTCAGTTCGTGTGATCAGACAGCCCACGCGTTTTCAGCGGTGAATAATAATTTAGGACGTCAACCGGCTTGGTTACGCGAGCAATGTGAGATTAAACTAACAAATAACTACCATTCTTACCTATTCCGGTTTTCAGGGGAACATGCGGTCGAGGTCTACGCGGACAGTGGTCAACGTGCTGGCAAGAAACGTCTATACGAACTGATCGGCCAATACTTCTTTGATATTCGCCCCTCACACGAACCATTTGGAACAACACGGAGTGTGACCGATTTACTGGCTGATTCGGTATGCTTAAACTGAGCATAAGTTTGGACAATCCACATGACAGATACTTTTTTGTTGTATCAGAGAATAAACAACTTGCTCAAAACCCGTCCTCAAACACAGGATTCGGTCAATTTAGCTATTCACAGAGACTGTTACGTTTGGTAGACTTAAACAACTCACGGGTACAGGGCAAAAACTAGAAAAATATAAACATCTAATTGATTTGATCGAGAGAATGTTACGTCCGTTGAATCCATAACATAATGGTAAATAATTGTAACAAATACGTTCTACTGGAGACGCAAAATCGGGAAGCCCAGTATAATCAGCGGTAAAATCGTACATTTTCTAGCCACTCTATCGCGAAGTACAACCAGTTAAAAACAGGATCAACCTATTTAGTGATGATAATTGTTTGGTCACGATTATTAACCTACTCAAATTGAAATAATGAGCGCTAGAGAGGAACCGGTTGTCCGCTGGAAGAAACGGTTGAACTCCATAGATTACGTTGGTTGGGGCACGTTATGAAATGAATTGCCACAGCGCGCGATGTTTGTCGAAGCAGGTAATGGGTGCAAAAAGCCAAGGGTGGTCAAAATAAGAGGAAATGAACTCTCTAACCAGGAGACCCGGTCATATGGGTCCCGTGCATGGGGACCTCGAGGTGATCGTAACCGATGGTTAGAGACACTGATTGATACCACCCAGTGCCATAAACAATTGGGTACGTGCATTTTCTCAATTTCTTTGCAACCTTAGTCCCCTGAAATCCTTCATGTTTTCTTCGACTCTACTTTCAACTTTCCTGTCTTTCTCTCACTGCTTCATCCAAATGAGTAGCTAAAAGACGGCGACCAAATCGGTGCACAAAAGTGCATAGTTAATGGTTGTACAAACGGAACTGAAAAACTAGAGAGAAACGCTGCTGTCTAAAAGCTAAAGATCGGTTCAGTTTCAGATAGGCACTCAAACAAATGCGCCCTCAATCGCTGAATCTGCTTCCGGGAGCAAACATTTCTAAAAGCCTTGGTCCCACTTTGATTGAATGCCAATTCAACTCGATCGGACAGCGTATTACCGACGAGAAAAACCTAATAACACCATTGTAACGAGCGCAACAAACGAAAAGGTATTTGGTTCGTTCTTGTAATCCTATTCGTGGTATTCACAAGGAAGTTCCAGTGAAATCTGAAATCCTGGATTTTCTTGCGAATAACCTCAGTAAGAAACAACAACATTGATTAACATTATCTAGTAAGACTTTACTCATTAGGAAAATGGTATTGTAAGTGCAACGCCGAAGATTCTATTCAGTTGAACTGTGGCGGCTTATGATTTCACAAGTCCATATAACAAACAACAGAAACGACATACACGCCTTGTCAGAACTGGACGCGAAACAGCGGTGCAAATTAGCCAGGCTACTTTCTAATCCGTTTATTCCGACCCAGTTCGCGGCCAAAAAAGAGAACTCACGGACAGGCCGACGCCGGTGCATCGTACTGAATGCTCGCTTGCCTTAAGAGAGATATTAGGGACTACGTGTGGACAAATACATCGGGTCAGTGACTACCTAGGGAGAGCTTATTCCAATTTTTCTATTCGTTAGAGGTTTTCTTCGTAATAGACTAGGACAGACCATAACTGACTATAAAACCTTGAAAGCAAAGTACCTCGACCACAACTGCTGTTGGATCGTTCCAATAATTATGCTGTGTGCGTGTGGGAATGCCGAAGACTCGTTCCAAATGAGACACTTTGTAGTATGTATGTAAATTTACTGACCGCTATTCATAATAAATAACTATTCTCGCCCAGGTACCGCCTTGTGGATTTATAACAATAGTGGTATCGTTCGGTATCGGAACATGATGTCCCCAGGCTACATACACGCTGAAAGCGCGTTGAACACGGTCAAAGCAGAAAGAGTGAAAAGAATAACGGGAAAGTGAAACTTGTATTGGCGGGTCAAAACCACGTTCAGTTAGCAGTGACCGGCGTTTCAGAACTCTATGCGGCCACTTCTCGTTTATGATCACTTGAGCTTGGTGGTTTTTTGGAAAAGCATATCGACGATCCCGTTCAAGGACTGGATGGCCGAAAGTGCTAGAGGATAATCTTTGCCTTCACATTGTGGCTCGCGAAGAACAAGCACGCCGGAGCCCTGATCCAAGATACCTGTATTGAACAAGCGGTGGGTGGGCGAATAGAACAAACCATGAAGAAAAAGAGTACAGATCTAATTGGAAAAAACACGAAACCTTGAATTTCGTGATACATAAGGCGAGACAAATCTAAATTATGGCTTTTCGCCCACGATGTGACGGAACATGATGTACGAAAGCACGAATAAGGTTTTTCGTTTGTATTTCTAGCTCCGTATAGGAATAGATTCATGTTGTGAAACCAATTAAACAGAAAACTCATGAAATATCCAGTACTGAGGCCACTGTCATCGAGGTGACAATCAACACATGAAAGGTTTGCTCCCACAACCAGTAACTTAGCCCGCCTGGCCAGAATTACAGCAAATTTACCGGGTTTAATCTTCTCCGAAGGGCTCCTGGATACAGGATGCACTCTGTGATGGGTAGGCAGCTTCGTTGTCGTCCGATTCAATACCACGCCTAACCCAAGGGGACCTTGTGTGGTTCGCCACTCCAAGTCCCGGGGCTTAAGTTGATGGTTTCCATTACTGAACAGCAGATCCTCGTGATTATGGGGTTTACCCCATCTGCCGGTCATCACACTAAGGTGTTATAAATTTTTTTAAGTTACTAGAAAACACATGTGCAACGTGCATTCGGAAAGAAAATAACCCAAAAGACAACTAACCATTATGTTCGTTATCCAGAATCATTTGTGATAGTTTCTTCTCCACAGTTTCCTGGAATAAGAGTGCAAAATGCTTGAGAACAGAGGGGGAAAAGGTACCAGTACTTGGGGTTTTCACTAATTGGTAGCTGCGGAGAGATTAGGTACTGTTCACCCTGTGCTGTGAAAAATCAGGCAACTATGATAAGGTTCTATCAAGTTTCTTAACAAATGGAGAGCACTGAATTCCTAGGTTCACCTCGAATAAGGCAAAAATGAAAAAAGTATAACATGTGGTTCACACAGCCATGAAATTGATAGCAACAGCTGAACGATAAAGGCTGACAGTCTACTGTCGCATAATTCGGTTGTTCAAACCTCTTCGATGCCACCCGACTTCTCCCATGATTAGGTGAAAATCCTCTATCGGTCATGGCCCTACTCTCGATTGTGTAACTGATGTATGTTAAACAGATGAAAGTAAACTATCACATTAACATTACTGTTATTATTATTATTATTATTATTATTATTAATATTCTAGTGATGTATTTCTAATTGTTGTTCGCCAGGAAATGCACACCTTTTGATAATAAGTGTGAAAGGAACAGACAATATAGAATTACTACTATATATATATATATATCACCGGCTTAAAGACAAGTATAGTGTCAACGCAACAATAATAGGGAATGGGTGGATTGGAATACAGAACGGAGTGTAAAGTATAAAAAATGAGACGTTTTAGTCCCGAAGCCCGACCCCTGAGGAAATCCAGGTTCATGACCACATTCGCTGACGTTAAACGAAGCACCCAAAAGCCACCGATCATCAGCAATCTTGAAATATGATCAGTGTTGATAAAGAAGTAATAGGCTATGGGAGCCAAGGAGAAAAAGGGAACGACTATAGCATAAAAACTGTTGACGAAGTATTGAAAATTGGTTCTCGTAGCTCGGGTGAACTGAATTCCATGTCGCCTGTTCGCCGAGCTTGGCAATTTNTGGCAATTTGTTTGCAAAACGTTTCATCACCAGTCGAGATGACATCATCAGTGCTTGTGAAGCAAGCTCGGCGAACAGGCGAAATGGAACACGGCATAAAAACATTAAGAGGGTGAGGTAGCTATACGTCAGTGAACCACTGGCAGTTCACCTAGGGTAGTTGGCCAAAAACCCTGATTCCAAACCAACCAAGAAGAGGCACACGAACCACAGGCACATCATCCTAGTTGCGGCGGTTGTGGTCACCGGCTCGATTGGACATCAAGGTGTATTGGGCACTTTGGACGTTCGACCCCGTCCAAAGGGCGTATGACCTAATGTACTGGACACCGGCCCCTAATGAACTGCGGGTGGGGTCTCCGAGGTTATCTCGCTTCTTCGGTCAGGGTAACTGGAAAGTAACAGGCCCACACAATCTATGAACACATTCTTCAGATTTCTTTTTTTTTGTATGGCGATTGTGAAAAGTTCAGTAGCCTCGGTGAGATTCGAACCCACGCATGGACGCCGCCTACGCTTCGGACGCGAACGCTCTACCAGCTGAGCTACGAGCCCCTACCGATGGCACTAATCTTCTCACGTTCGAATTACCCATCCAACTTCAGAGGTATATGGCATCCACCAATTAGCATGTAAGCAGATCGCCCCGAAAGGTTTTTCTTAGAATTCACCGGGAGTCCACAGAATGAACATCTAAGACAAGGTTGCGCAAATGGATGATTAGCAGATTTGAAGTTTGTATGGCGGCTGTTCATATGTTGTGGCACATTTGCCAGTTCTCTGTAATTGGTTGCGTGTTGAATACATCGATGTAAGGTGATTTGTTTTTGTTTACCAAATAGGAGATTTCATTGACTTCTCTGTGTACCTTTAAGTCAGTCGGATGAATTCGGGGATCGCAATAAGAAGTGCAAGACCTGAGTGGAAATAGAGCATGATACCACAGTACCGATGAGCCAGGAGTGAAAACTCTGTACGAGGACAACAGAATTAATGTGACATCAAGCCCGGTAAAAACAGATGATGACGGAACAGAAACAAGTCAACTGATGTTTCTCACTTACCAATGGTAAATTAATCAATTTGGCAATATGTCCAATTTGTACCCGAGAATAAGGTTCGATCAACTTGAGTAAGTTTTGACCGAAAAGGGTGTCATAAAACGAAGTCAGATGACGACTGACTACCGGGTCGTTTGCCAATTCAGCCTCGTATTTGGTTCGAACCTACGAAAAATACATTGAAACGAAACGATAAATGCTGGATAAAATTAAGTCAAATCTGGACGACATCATCAAAACCCTCCGGAAACTAGAACCTTAGACCGTAAATTTTATACAAGTATTTAGTAGACTGAAGTAGTTTCAGTTTTACGACCATTAACCATAAACTTTCGTGTGCCGGTTTCGGCTGTCCTGCGGCCGCCCATTTGGATAAAAAAGAGCAGAATGAAGATTAGAACATTGAGCGTAGATTCAAGCTATGGTTAACGACCACGATTACCTAAAACTCTCGTCCGGTTGTCTAACCAGACTTAAACAGTAGCGATTCGGTCCGTGTAGGACCGGTTGTTCACTTATTTTAACTATCCACATATGGTCCCTATAGGATAAAATAAACACGGTATCGAACTGAACAACAGAGCAACTTTGTTTCGTATTCCGACACTGATCGACGTTAGACATATTTTTATTCTTCGTGATCTCTGCCTTTTTGGCCAGAAATAAAACTTATGTGAGCAGTAGCTCTATATAAACCACACACTTACAGCAAGGAATGCGCCGAGTGATCGGTCTTTCGCCGCAACACCAATCTCGCGCATCGCATCCAGATGTCGACTGTTGTATCGCAGCGCCAACTTGCTTGTAAGAATACTGGGTATCTCTTCGGGACTGAAAAAGATAAACCAAATAAGTACGACCCAGTGTAGCACATCATTCATTCATTCATTTTACCGTTTCATGTGATCTAACAGCTTAAAAGAGTCAATTCTTTTTTCCAATCTAATCAGTGAAGAAACACGTGTGCTTGAGTAGCGTTTCATCACCAGACTCGGTGGTTGTTAAATGAGCAATAAAGAACCACAAATCTATAAAGACTTACAGGGAAAAGAATGAATCATTGCATGGAATACTTTACAAATGTCATCGGTTTGAAGAATAAACAATAGAGACCCAATTTTATCTCACTACAAAGTACACACTGTGGTATTCTATAGACTGATATGCTCGATGGTGCATGCGGGCATTCCCTATTAAGAGATAGACCCGCTTCAACCAATTAGTAGTGAACTGTCCAAGCTGATTTATTTGACTGGTTAACTGCTCTGTTTGACCGACTTCGGATATCATGTACTGCCTGCGTTTGTTGCTGGTCTGTCTGCTTGCTCACGTGTTTACGCCCCGGCTTGCTAACCGGACCATAGATCGATTATGTATGCACGTAAATACAAATACACGTACTGCTTGATTCCATGGGTAGTTATTCACCTACTTGGACGGGATACAACAGTACCTTACCCACGAAGTCAGTGCGTCTTGCATTGAAGAAGAAAAACAGCCGAGCTTCTCCCATTTGATCGCCATTCGTGGGCAACAACTACAGGTGATATCTGTGAATTGGGAGGCAACTGCAAAAAAGTAGATGCTACGGGAACTTCCTCTGGTGCAAATAAGTTCATATTAGGGACAGTACTGAAATACTGGCTTAGGAATGAACGTGATCGTGGGGAGAGGTCATTACGCCGAAGCGAGATTCCGAAAGACATTCTATTTATCTTCGAAGGTATGGAGGACCCACTACACACACTTGATGTACTAGCAAGTTCGGTTGCTCCTTTAGGCATGCGTTTAGCACATTCAAAGTACAGAGCATTTCCGCAACAGTGGGTGCCAACTACCACCACATTGAAGCTAGATGGTCAGAGACAAGCGGAATGTGGCTGCTCTTACTGAAATGTGAAAAATGAAGATAGAATGGAAAAGGAGTTGACTGCAGGCTTTTGCAAAGCTAGACCAATGTGTGCTGGATTGAAATATCTTTGACCTCAACGAAAGATCTCACGAAAGTTGAAAAGGTGCGCAAACTGCGACGTAGCGCGTTCGGTTCGGTTTTACGATTTGCATATCCAGATGTTGTACGTAGGAGACGACCACCGACTCGAGGTTTTTGATAATCCATGTTCAGTTTAGCTTCGCACAGGTACGATAGAGTGAATGGGTTAGCAACACCGAACGAAATAAGCTGAAGCGAATTATGTGTTGTCTTAGTTTGGCAGAGATCAGTGAGATCATTGCACTATATTTAGCTGTACAGAAATGAGGATTGATCTTCGGCGTAAGATCGCGAGAACTAGAGTGCTCACGTCGAACAGTACCAAAGTTATTCACCCGAAACCAAACAAATTTAATGAATAACAACCGGGAACTTGACAATGAAAACGAGAGAGAGTGAGGCGGAAAATACAGAACAGTTCCTTAAAGAAAAAAATGCAGAACTAAACGATACCATTGTGAATGAGGGAACGAAAAACACACGACATAACAACACCGGAAAATGAACCAGTGAAAGAAATGAGACAAGCCCTATAAAAAACAACGAAGCGAACCTGTTGAGCATCACTTTTGAGAGAAGCATATACTTCAGGGCATCAACAGCATGATTGGAATTGATGGAGTCAAAACCCTCAAACGCCTCATAGAAATACGAGTAGGCTGTTTTGAAATCTCTTTCATCTGCCGCATGCAAGATACCTAAAAATAAAGAACACAAGTACAAAATCAATGACACAGTCAAAGTAGGAAGACAATTGTCAAACTGTTATTACGAAAACAAATAGATCGAAGTAGTAGCGGTCGAGAACAGACTAGTAATCCGACAATGGAGTATACCATAGCGAAGCATAAAATGCCAAATTGGAAATTCCCGGTTGTGAAATACGGGGAGCATTCACAGGAACGTACCCAAACAGAAAACAGACCAAAACTAGATAGATGATACCAGCGAAGACTTATATATACTTCAGCGCACAGTCAAACGATTGCTCACCAACCACCAGTTGGCCAATCAATCCACATAAACAAAAACAT